TCTTGGTAGTCTTTTGGGGAACAGGGCTCCTCGGTGAGGTCATTGAAGAAATGTTCAATTCCTGGTAATTTCTCCTCTTTGAAGTTCTCCAAGGATTGCATATAAGTGTAGGGATAGATTCCTTTCCCCATTAACAGTTCAACATTCCCATCGCGGAAGAGGGCGGTTCGTCCGTTGGAACTGGAAAACATTTTCTTGGTCGTCTTGAAATGTTCTGTGTTGTTGCCATGGGCAAGGGATTTTGACAACTTGTCAATTGAGGCTGGCATCACGGCAGCGCTATCCACAAACCTCACCTTACATTTTCCCCTCTGTACCGAGAAGGAGAGAAACCTAACAAAAAAATACTTGTCAACAAAATCAAAAATTTGATTTAAAAATATTTACAAACCTCTCACTGGTACATGGGATAACTTCTACATCCATGTCCGCGGTGAAATTTGATACCAGGAAGTGAGCATCGTAATTTCTGCATTACAAATTGATCTTAACTTTTATATTTTAAAATTAATAAGTATATGTTTACCTAAGTCCGTGAAAGTAAACAGGAGGTACTCGTCTAATACGGGCATCAATATTGCAACTACAAAAATAAAAAGTATGATGAGTAATATAAACGGATTAATCATTCTATTTTGATCTACCTGTCATGGGCCAACCCAAGAAATTGACGAGAAAAGTGATCGTGGTGAAAAACGGTTTTATCCTTTGGGTTTACTTGTAATTTCTTTTTGCAAAAGTAGCATGGGTCGAGACTGTCAGGGTCATTCTCAATTAGATGAGTCAGACGTTTCTTTAGTTGAGGATTAATTTTCATATTATATTTTGCTTCCTTCTGTATGCTTTCAATTTCTTCTTGTCGTATTTCCTGATCCTCAAAAATGTCTTCAAAAAATCTCGCCACAACGTTTTCATCGTCGCGCTTTGCCCGATGTACCTTGTAAGAGACTATTGTATTATTCCAATCCAGGCAAATCCACGCATAACCTGATGGTGTGTGTTCGGCTAGATGAAGTTGACGTTCACTTTCAGGGAGACGGGCGTTTTTGCTTCTTAACAGTGACTCAAAATCACCAAAATATCTTTGAAAAGATGAAAGATATTTAGAAAAGATAGCAGAGTGTAGAAAAATTATCAAGTACCTGAAAGGAGCTTTTACCATCCGGCCATATTTGTTGAAGGAATACGTCTTGTCTTCTGGCATAGTCACTTGCTGCATTCCTAGCGCCAAGCAGTTGGGACGGTGTTCGTTCAATCGGTCTTCGCTGGTGAAGCAGTTCACGCAATTTTTACAACAATATGACTTGTTTGTAGTGAGCGAGATTAGAGCGTTGAAATTGCGTATCAAGGCATAGTGCCCTGTCCATCCCTGTTCAGTTTCCTCCAAAATCAAAAGAATGTCGATTTCCTGAAGATTTGAAACTTCAGTATCGGCATGGGTGTGTTTTAAGATTCTTTCTTTAACACGGAACTGGGGAATCTTGTTTGAAGAGTAAAGTGGATAGATGGAATTGCGGATTTCTTTTTTGATTTGTAGTTTATCCTTAGCGGTGCGAGTCGGCTTGCTTAACAGGTCAGAGTAAAGTTGCTTAGCAGCATCTTCTTCTTCATAGACAAACACGTGCAGATCGACATCGGGATTGTTCTTAGAGAACGTTGAAAATTGAGACATATCAATAGGTGTTGATAAACCATCCCAGTTGAACCCATGTTTGTTCAGTTCATTAATATAAGTAGACCGTTTCTCTTGGAAACGGTTCACATGTTCCTTATATTGAGCCTTCAAGCTGGGCAGAATTTTTGATGCCAAAATACTCAGTGAAAAACAATTTTGGTCTGGTCGACCAGTCATTGGATCCGTATTGTCAATCGATAACACTGTAGCGGGGCTAACATATTTCAATAAATTGTTCCGTGTCTTGAATCCTGTTCCTCCAATTGGTTGGAATCTTCCGACGCTAATCTCAAAGCCAGACACAAAATCCAAGATCCAGCCAGACTTTTTGTTGATATAAGCTGCTACTGAGTTACACATTTTCCAGGCGAGTGAGTTGACGATCGTTCTGATTGAATCAGAACGGTAAACTGAGTGGGTAACTCCGCGAAATACAGGGTCAGGATTAGTACGGTCAGAAACTATCATTTGCAGGGTGACTGGATCCACTGACGTCTTATAAAAGTGACACTTTAGTTCTGACGAGATCTTCAGACATTTCTTTTCATCTAGTTCTTGGTTCAGAATGAACTCAAGCTCGGAAAAGATGGTTTCAAAGAATTGAAACGCATCTTTAAACTCATTGTTCTTCACATCCAGTTCGTACACATTGATCAAGCCTGTGTACAAGCTTCTTGTTAGGGGCAAGTACCTCTTAATTAATCCACCACCAACTTGAATAGGAATTCCCTTGTAGGGGTGTTCTTTCTGCATGTGATGATCCAACTCATAATTGGTGCAGAATTTTTTTGAACACTGGGGACAACACTTGTTGATGTACATGGTCATGTCAGGTTCTTCACGCCAACGTTTTGGAGAGGGAGTAGGCTCATCACTTGGACGTTTGTTGCTGGAAAAGGTAAGAAAAACCCACTAAGCTAAAGGTAAACCAGTAATCTGAGGCACGGGAGGCAATCTGAGACATTTGGGGACAATTTTAGAAATTTGGGGTAATCTGAGACACGGGGTAATCTGAGATATTTGGGGTAATATGAGATATTTGGGGAATCTGAGATATTTGGGGTAATCTGAGATATTTGGGGTAATCTGAGACATGGGGTAATATGAGATATTTGGGGTAAACTGAGACACCGGGGGCAATGTGAGATATTTGGGGTAATCTGAGACCCTGGGTAATCTGAGACAATATTTGGGGTAATCTAAGACACCGGGCAATGTGAGATATTTGAGGTAATCTGAGACATAACCGCGATGTTATGCAACTGTTCGCGCCGCAGCGAGGCTGCTTACAATTTAAGATCATAAACCCTAGTCTGACCTTTACTTCCCCTCTTTTGCCCTTCATGTGGGCTAAACTACCCCTCTGCGTAATACTGCATTCATAATCTCAAAAACTTTACTTACTTGCTGGTTCCGGCAATTGGATCGTCTTTTTGAGAATAATCTACGTCCATAACTTCACCAACTTTGGAACATGAACTAATATCATGACTTTCCTGGCAGTAATCGCATTTTTCATCACTTATTAATTCACCGACGAGTTGGCACACACTTGGGCAATGATTACCAGAGCAGATACCACACAAATTACTATGTATTTGCATACACAAGGCACAGATTTTATCGCAGATATGAGGCTGAATAACTTCTTTTTGGCAGTTGTCACATTGTTGAACATGTTTATTTTTTATATGATATTTGATGATACGAAGTGAATTAGAATTTGCTTCGCTACATAATAAGCAATGATAACCAGTAGCCACTGGAACTATAAAATCAGAAATTCTCATTTTGCCACAGGTTTGCACGATGTTACTCTTTCTACTAGCTTATTTTCCTCCTCTTTGCTACTTTTATTCTGAGGAAACGTTTCATTTAAGAATTACTGGACATTTTCATCTCATTTCCTGCAAGCGAACGTTTATTTTTAACCGCATTTCTCATATTTATAAAAATACTGGTCATTTTTCCATTTTCTTGGAAGAACGTTTTCTTGTTCCGTCTTTTTCCCTCATAAGGCAATGTATGGTGGCGAGAACCCGTATTTTTTCCTGTAAGGAAAAGTATGTGGCGAGGAGCCCTCTTTTTCCTCATAAGAAGTGTGTGATGAAGACCCGTCTTTTTTCCCATAAGAAATAGAGTGGGCGAGAAATCCGTGACTTCTCCTATAAGAAATAAAGTGGGTGAGAAATCCGTGGCTTCTCCCATAAGAAATAAAGCGGGCGAGAAATCTTTGGGTTCTCCCATAAGAAATAAAGTGGGTGAGAAATCTTTGGCTTCTCCCATAAGAAATAAAGCGGGCGAGAAATCTTTGGCTTCTCCCATAAGAAATAAAGTGGGCGAGAAATCTTTGGTTTCTCCCATAAGAAATAAAGCGGCTATAAGCAGTCAGCATATCCTTGCAATACATACCCATGCTATAAAGGCCTTGTGGCGAGAAGCCCTAACCGTCTTTTTCCCTCATAAGGCAATGTATGGTGGGGAGAACCCGTATTTTTCCCGTAAGGAAAAGTATGTGGCGAGGAGCCCTCTTTTTCCTCATAAGAAGTGTGTGATGAGGACCCGTCTTTTTTCCCATAAGAAATAGAGTGGGCGAGAAATCTGTGGCTTCTCCCATAAGAAATAAAGTGGGTGAGAAATCCGTGGCTTCTCCCATAAGAAATAAAGCGGGCGAGAAATCTTTGGCTTCTCCCATAAGAAATAAAGTGGGTGAGAAATCTTTGGCTTCTCCCATAAGAAATAAAGCGGGCGAGAAATCCTTGGCGAGAAAACCTAGCCAAGGATTTCCCCATAAGAAATAAAGCGGGCGAGAAATCTTTGGCGAAAAAACCTAGACACTTCTACTACTATATTGCTCGGTAAAATCAATAACATCCTTTATGCAAGGTACACAAAAAACGAGGACTTGATTTTGTATAAAACTCCTACGACTTGAGATCCTGTTTCCCAAATATTTTTTTATCGCAAGCATATATATTCCACTCCGAATCGACCATTTTCCTCCCAGTTCAAATTGGCGTAGTAATCGAGCGAGATAAATAATACCCATCTTTCAATATCTTTTAATCTTTATTATTAAATTCTTCAATAAGTAATTATTGAAAAATTTCTAATGTGGGTAGAAATACGAGCACTTTTTATCCTTTTTGCACTGCAGAATTATTCCGGCGGCGTGGCAATAAAGGAGAATTACTCGAATGAAGAAACCTTAGATGGCGAGGGGAAGTATGTCCTAAGATGGGACGTAGTAGGAGATAGGATCGTGTTTGAAGTGACCGCGGAAACCCAGGGGTTCGTCGGGTTTGGTATTTCCCCGTCAGGAACAATGACCGGAGCGGATATTTTTATCGCCGGGGTTCGACCGAATGGATCAACATATGTGCAAGTAAGGGCATTTTGACATCAGAAACTTTTATTTTTCAACTACAATTTAAAGTTAAGAAAAGTGTAGTTCCACACTTTTTTAACTACTCTCCGGATTTCTATTCTCTAAAATTTATTTTAAATGCCAGGTCATGGGTTAGTTGGAGCTTTTTACTTTTGAAAACAAAACTAAATTTTGCAGATGAGAAATTATAAACAGAAATGATTCAATTTTTCAGGATTTCCACGCAAATGGAGAGACAATGCCGGTCTTGGATACTCAACAGGATTGGAGGCTACTGGATGCTTACGAAATACAGGCAGAGAACAAGACAATTTTAAAATTTTCGCGCCTTCTTGACACCTGTGATGAGCAGGATTTAGCCATTGGGGTAATTCATGTAGCCACTTATAAATACATATATTTATAAGCATATAAGGGGGAAAATAATAATGATAAAATTCAAATATTTTCGAAGAGCGACACGACCCGAATAATCTGGGCGCTAGGAGACAGCGATACGATCGCCTATCACGGCGGGACTAACAGAGGGACAAAGAGTATGAATTTAATCAATCCCCAGATACCCGAACTGGACCTGGCAAGCTTACAGAACTACGCGATTGATATGAGTATCAGGTTGCCACCGATGGACACGGTTTACTGGTGTACACTCCATAAAGGGCCCACTTTAACCAGAAAGCATCACATCGTAGCGGTGAGATCATTTGCTGATCGGTGTATTGCAATATTCAACCGATTTTGGATCTCAAAATTGCACATTTTTTTAAGAGGGGACGAAAACTTTGAGTTATAAGTCCCTACATGATAACTTATGAAATCCGCGTAAAATTAGCCATAAAACATTGTAAGTCTTTGCAAAGCAAATTAAAACTTAACCGCGTGTTGCCCGGCGGGAATAGCATTTCCGTCCAGAAAAGTCCTCTTTTACCGGTAGCTTATCAGCGTGCAAAAAATCATATTTATGTAGAACAAAATGGAATTACCTGGACAGTGTTAAACCTGAATTATGTCTAATTTTTGTCCCTAGTTTGACACCTTGCTGCCCAGCTTGAACTCGATTCGACACACTCATCATTTTGTCCTTTACATGTGCCGAGCTCCTCCAGATGAAACGGAGGAGGAGGCATTTGATCGATTCACGTATGCCAACGGAAACCCATGAGATCACTGCTCTACGACACAAGTACTCCCAATTTCGCAGTGTGACACGCTCGTCTACACGTGGGCAAAGGGTGGCAAGGTGAGTTGAATAACTATATGTACAAACTCGTAAATCTTTAGGGGTATACGAGTTCGAATCCAGCTTAGGACCAGTAATCTTTACTTTAGGTAGCACATTTGTGGATTAATGTAGATGATGATATTTCCTGAAGATGTGGGCTTCCCTATTGGAGAAACGTCAACCGCACAATATTACATGGTCGAAGTGCATTACGACAATCCGCAGCGGTTGGAGGGTATCTTTGTCGAAACGGGATTGATAATGCATTACACCCCTAAATTGAGATCCATCGACGCGGGAATACTCGCTATTGGTCAAGGCGTCGATATTTCGCTAACCATCCCGCCTAATCAGGATGGTTTCAAGGTCGTGGGGCATTGCAGTCCTCAATGTACACAGGAAGCGCTAGGGCCCGAAGGAATCACCGTGTTCGGGTCCATGCTTCACTCACACAAATCCGGTAAAGGGTAATGATCTGAAGTATTTTAAATCTCACAGCGTAACACTGCGTAAATTCGTCAGACAACTCTTCAGACATTATTTTCTCCAAGCTTTCTAAGCGCAGCTTTTCATAACTTAATTAAATTAGGAATATACAGCTTTGAAATGTGCTTATTCATCGCCATTTTTTTTAACTCGAGAGTGTTAGTTAGGTATCAATTAATAGAAAAGAACATCTCAGAAATTCGTGGCATTATATTAAACTAAATTTAATTTTGATTGTTTACTAAAGGCCGAAAAATGAAGACACGCCATCTCCGAGAGAACATAGAACTTCCCTGGATCGATTTCGACAATCCTTATGATTTTAGCTTCCAGCAGAACAAGGTTCTCCTTCAAACCCGTCAGATTCTCCCCGGAGACCAGCTGTCCGTCGAGTGCACGTATTCTTCCATATGGAGGAACGGGAAGCCCGTAATCGGGGGACGCTCCTCGTACGAAGAAATGTGCCAAAGTGTACTCTGGTATTATCCGAGAAATCAGCTACAATGCATGTCTCGCTACGACGTGGATACACATTTGGCCGATTTTGGGGTCGAGAAGTACCACATCGTACGGGGTTTGTCGTCACTGCGATACATCGTGGACACACCGGCTCCCATCGCGGGCGATTATTACGACCTGGTCGCCACAAAGTTTAATTGGACATATGGCTTTTTACGCGCGTATCAGGAAGAAAGATTAAATGGATCAAATGTCACAATGTGGCGGGAAACAAAGACCTACAAGATATCCGAAAAATTTAATCGAGTATTTTCCAAATAATCTGTGTATTAACACAAAGAAGACTAAAACTGTAGACAAAATTTTAGACTATTGTTTGCATTATAAGTAACGGTAAATAAGACATTCTGAAATATTAACCCTTGCAAATAAAATACATATATGCATGTGCTAAATAAGTGTGCTATGTTCATTGAACTCATACTGGAACCATGTTTTAGGCTACACGAGATTAGGTTAGGGACTTATGATGAATAATCACTATAAAAGTAAGACATGACGTGTTACCTTCTTTTCTGTGGACACATAATGGTCAAATATTTGATGACAAGCTCATATTTGCGGCCGGCACTAGTCTTTAGTGGGCGAGTGGATTAGTGAACAATTTTATTCTTCATCACGGTAAGCTCTATGTTGCTCAGTTTCGCGTAAGCACTTTTAAACATACAGCAAATCATGACCGTGTAAACGAGGTCAAAGGTCTCAAGTATCGAGTTTTGTGGTTTGATAATTTTATACAGTTTGGGGTGGGGTTCTCATGAATAAATATCAGTTAAATGTAGATTGATTTGGTGACGAGATCGATGGTCATAAAATGCTAAACTCATCTCACTGCACTTCGTTTCGACTCGTTCTCTGGGCATCGTTTATTTAATCTTCTTTTGATCTAAAAAACAGTCTTAGGTAGGTGCATTTGTATAGGTGTAGGAAGGTTCATGTCATATAATGCTATGACATTTAATTCACGTACGTGAAATCAATAATTTAATTTATTCACCAGAGGGTCAGAGTTTTATAGTATAAATATGAAATTTTTCGGAAAATGCTTGACTTTTCAATATCCTACTTATACCGAACTGAAGAAGCTACGAGACAGACGAAGGTACAAAGAATAGTAGATAATTTAATAAAATTTTCGACAAAATTCAGTTGATAAATACATAAATATTTTCCAATAGCAGTCGATTTCTTTTAAGAGTTATCTATGTAGCTCTATTTGATATGGCATTCATGGATTGGGCTTCAACTACATAAACGAGAGATAACAACCCTCTTTCACCCATAGTGCAGTAAAGCGGCGTTTTGTCGCCGTGTCGTATATATACGTAAATATTTTGAAAAGTTACTCGCACTGCGTGTGGTTATATTTTGAGTGTTTGCCCCCATTAGTGTCCGATATTCAATGAATACTTTAATAATATTATAGTACCGCTAGAATATATAAAACTGTACTGGTCTGCTTTGCAAACATTTATTTAAACTTTGCTGGGGTATATGATTTAGTACCCTTCGCTTAATTTTATTTAATAAATTAACCAAGGCGAGTGGAAAGCAGACATGCATTTTGAATTTCAGAGCGGAGAGGACAAGATATGATTAAATTACCGTAGAAGGTATAGATATACCTTTTACGGTATAAAAGTACGGCGTAAAAGTATATACTTTTATATTATCGTAAGATTAGATAATCACATAGCCAAACGTTGGCTGATATCGGAACTATGTCTGCCGTGCTAGAGACTCTAGCCTAGAGTCGAACTTTTTTCTGGGAATGTTTCTAGAAACTTACTCGTAAGAAATACACATGGCTGTCTTAAAGTTAGGCCCGAGAAGTCATTTAATGGGCCTACGAGATACAGGAACAAAAATTGCACGCACCTTCCAATCAACAGTCAAGTGGATAAGCAACGTATGTTTGCCCTCCTCAAACATACCTCTTGTTGTCGGTCTAACTAAAATGTCACTAATCATTGACCAGTTACCATTCACTCTAATCAAGGGAACCTTTGTTGTCACGGGTAAAAACCAATGCCGCCGTATATCGGCAGTCGTTGTTATCCTATTTCATCTGGCAGTGGTGCTCAAGTGGGTTTTAGACAACTGGTTGGACACAGGAGAACATTCCTCACCAATTTGGAAATTCGTTCTTATGTACCACTGTGTATCACTGTTCAGCTCCATTATGGCTTTCATAGTCCACATTACTAAGTTAAAGGGAGAAACAATATGGTTGCTAAATGCCGCACTCCAAATTGAGCGAGATTGCCGGGCTGAGGGTGAGTTTTTGTTCTGATGTGTTCTGCTAACGCTAAGGTTTGGGTAACACTTTGGTTACCACGAGTTTTGAGTTCCTGAACCCCTCATTATTTAAGTTGCCTAATCGTAAGCTCTTTTGAAGGTTACTTTTATGGGTAAAGTTTGTAAAGCTGATTTATCCTATGGGTTCTTTGAGACATCGACTGGCCAAGCGATACGTACATCTAACTCATACCGTAATTTCTCTTAGTTCCACTACGCAGCTATTCGACCAGAAACATTTGAAAATTTGACGTAATTTGAATTCAACTTCAATTCTTTGCTCATCAAAATGTGGCCCCAAATATTTTATTTTAATCAAATTATACACTCAATTTTATGAGGATTAGTTTTTAAGGAATTTGTCGAAATATATTTTCCGACACTGCTCGACACATTAATTACCATCCTTTAGAATTTTTGGACTGCTATTCAATCATGTTTGTCACGATACAGATAATCAAGAACGATTACATTATGTACGCTGCAGAGTCAAAACAAATTATCAGCTACAAAGCACGTGATTGTCTAAGAGGTACTCACAATGGATGAATTTTACCAACAGTATTGTAGGCAAGTAGTATAGGAAATATAGGTACTGGGATAAGAAATTGTTTGTCGGATTGATTTGTGCATTGGTTTGTCATTAACCGCGTATATTACATAAAATTTTCAGGGTTCGAGATCGTTCATCTTTATTACATTGGGTTTATAGCCCTATCCAAGATGGCAGTAGTCATGCTGCCTCTGCCATGCTTCGCGACTGGTTTACTTCTACCCTGCATTCCTCCCGTCTGGAGCAGCGTCATCTATCTTGAATGCAATTCGTGGGACGACGATGGGAACAGTGGGTTTATATTCAGGATGTACGGAGCAATTCTGTGCTACTATCTTGGATTTTCGGTAATATCCACAGGTGTCTTCGTCATCACGGTGGTCATGATTTACCCCGCCGAGGTGAAGCTAATACTCATCGAGTCAATAAGCAGGTTCCACGAAGATAAAACTCAAAATGATCATCCGAATTTTCCTCATATGAAGTCTTAAGGATTGTCGTAGATGAAAGATTATGAATAATTTTACAGGGATCTGAGCAGTGGAAGGAAACCTTCTATTGAAGTCCTCATAACTTATCGAAACTTGCAGATGCTAACGGACTTGCACAATTCCGTGTTCAGACATCCCATAATGTCCATAATGGTTGGAGCCGTAACTATCTGTGAAAGTTTTGCTCTATATATCATAATAACTTCAACGTTGGAGGTTCCAGTCGTGGTAATAATTTTATTCTCAGCGGTCGCAGTTGATTTGTTCATCCTCATCGTGGGGCCGTTCAAGATTATGGCAAATCCATTTGTCCGGTCGAAGGAGTTATTGCAATCCCTTAAACGAATGAATACTTCTGGATGGGTAAAGCGATTTGTAAAATCGTGCCCGCCTTCGAAATTGATACTAGGTGATGGCAAGTTTTTTGATCGAGCTACATCTCTCGTAATTTTTAGTAAATGTGTAGACTTGCTTATTACCTTTGTTCTAATGTGATTGATGTTAAATGCAAATTTACGATTATTGAGAATATATCAGTAGTTTGTAAGTAGTTTGTTCATTGTAGTAAAGATTATATTCGCAGAGAATTACGATTATTGGTACATACATACATATGTACATTTATGTATATGTATGGTATGGTTCTATAATCGTAAGCATCTTTTATGTATATATAAAAAGTAGGATTGAGTTTTATAGAACCCTTTGGTTTGACTCAGCAAAATGGAAATAAAATGAAATGTTACAAATTATTTGTTTTTGAATATTTCGAAAGTTAATCCGACTTACGAGTATGATCATGAGTTTTGGGCTACCTAAGACGATGACTTCAGGATCTAGCCATCCAGGTCAAACTTTGAAAATATCAAATTTTTAGTTTCGAACGTTAACTTAGACGCTTACGATACTTTTGTAATTTCCTTTTAATTCTCTAAAAATGGTAAATTATACGGTTGTATTAGTGCTCCAATACCTGTCACAATTTCATGTAAAGTAACGTGCGAACCAATGTCTGATTGAGATTAACAGATTGACTCAATGCGTATACATATGACTCCTTGGGATATTTTACACCTATTTCATGTATTTGTGTATCTAAGTTTTTAAAATTTAATATCTTCAACCTTCCTGATTATGTCATGACTTGATATCTAATGCGCTGTTAGGTTTTACATTATCAATTGTGATAACTAGGAATTATTCCGTAATATAATATTTCCATACCTATTATATAGGTAATATCTTCGCGTTATCCGTGAAATTGCACTGGTATTCATAAAATTGTCATGTCTTTTGCTCAGTGCCGCGACAAAGGTGGATTTGACTGGATAATGGTTTCCAGGCCGTACGGCCCGGAGGGCCGTACCGGGCCTGACCATGCACTAGATAAAACGAGGTTTTATGATAAAACTGCTTAAATCATGAAGTTTTGATGAAATTGTCTAAGAACTTAATTTATGCTAGTTTCAATTGCATAGTGAGTTGATCTGAATCCATTCCAACCCTCTAGTTATTACATATTCTAACTTTTTCTTAGACATTTAGTAATTTTACCTAGGGTTTGTTTTTCCATTTCAAAACTCTTTTTACCAGAAAAGGAGAGAAACAGTGGTGAAGGTGAGAAAAGGGCATAGTGATGGGTAACCTCACAAGGCCTCTCGAAAAAAAAGTGAGGCCTACGACCTCGCATGCCGAGGAAGCCCAAGGCCTTTGCCTCACAATTTAAGCCTAGGCCTCTGGTCAGAGGCTATAGGCCTCAGAGAGATCGGCCTCTCCATTTAAAAGTGAAGCCAACGACCTCACACGGCCTCGACCTCGGCCTCACATCGGGAATCTTAAGCGTCAGTGCGGCAGGTCTCGGCCTGTCTAGTTTTCAAAATATAGGCTTCAGACCTCACTGGGCTCGACCTCAATATCCT